TCGATATCCTTCTGACGTTGAGGGCGGGCTGGGAGAGGCGTCTGCGTGGTTCCCTCCCCATGGGCTAGGCAGAGGGTTGGGAACTGCTCCGCATCTTTCGTGGAGGAGAGGGTGCCGAGGTGGGGAAGCATCAGGCTCCGGCATTCACCGGCTTTGGAGAGTCTGTGCAGAAATTGGAGGAGATGTCAGGAATTCCTGGTTGGAGCCTGTGGCTCTGCTGTGCGCTTGCGCTTTGGTTATTTCTGGTACCTGTGATGTTACCTTAACAAATATAACAATTCTTTCCCGATGAGCTTTCAAAAAGCAGAAGCAGCTGCTCCTGCAAGCGCTGTGCCTTGGGGCGGGTTTCATCGCCCGCTTCTCACCTCTTCTCGGTGTTAAATGCAGCAGAAATGGATTCCCAGGAGATCAAAGAGCTGCAGCAAGAGGTGATGGAGGAGTTGGGAATCTCCATGGAGGAGCTCCAGGATATCATCGACAAAGAGCTGGAGAATTTCGAGTGCGTGAAGCAGAGGAAGCAGCAGCTGGAGGAGCTGGAGAAGTGCGTGAAACAGAAGGAAGAAGAGGTGGCTCGCGTTGACCGGCTCTTTGATGACGCTTCGAGGTGAGCGCTCTTGGAATCGCGGCTCCGTGTCGGAGCTGGACCTCCAGGCCCAGGTGGGGGAGGTGGGGTGACCGAGCCCGACGTCTGCCCGTTTCCCTTCGGAGCAGATTGACGCTTGTGATTCTGCGTCGGTTCGTTTGTCTGTGGTTGTTGAGGGATAATTACAATTACTCCCCTGTGGCTTTAAATCCTTCACGTGAATACTCTTCCCTCGCCTCATCACGGGTGTATTTAATTAGCAGCTCCCCAGCGGTCGGTTCCGTTTCTTTCCGCGGTGTTTGTACAGCTGGGCTCACCTTGTCTTCCCGTGTCTCGGCCCTTCTGGTTTTTTCCCCAGAGACATTGATAAATGTGAGATGTTGGTGAAGGATCTGTACTCCAAGCTGGGCCTCCAGTACCGTGAGAGCAGTTCTGAGGACGAGGGTATGGCTGGAAAGCCCACGGAAGTGATTGAGATCCCGGACGAGGACGACGACGATGTCATGAGTATTGATTCGGGCTGGAAGCACAGTTCAGTATCGGGTTGTACCACGTGGGCTCGAGGGGAGGGATGGAGATCTGGGCGTGTCCTGGGGGAGGATGGGAATGAGGGGGGTTGGAGTAAGGATATCGTAAAGGTGGCCATAAGCCACGCTGGTCCGTGAGCAGAGAGGATCAGGATCACGCCGTTAGCATCACTGCTTGCGTGAGCTGCCAGGTTCTGGAACTGTCCCCTGGTTCCTGGCATCCCAAAGTGGGATTTTTCCCTTTTCCCACCTCCTGACTGCTGTCCCCACCCAACGCTGGTCCAGTGGGGAAGCTGCCCTCTGTGGTTAGGAGGGGTGGCTTGGGGGGAGCCGTGCTGGGGTGGGTTTCTGGACAGGGGCAGGGAAGGCTTTGGAACAGACGCTTTTCTCTGTTCCCTTTTCTTTTGGTGACTGGACTAGAATGGATTTTTCCCTCCCCAGTAAGTTCTAACCCACTTTTTTCTCCTTAAACACAGGCAGTAATTCTCCCAGGATCACAAAGGATCAGACCCTGGTGAGTTGGGAAAGACCTGACTCTAGTGTACGTCTGAAACGGGGTTTTGCCGGAATGCTCAGGACAGCATTGCACGTGGTGCAAAAAGGAGAAGGTTCTCCATGCATTCTTTCTCTTCCCTGCAGCTGCGGGAAGCCATGGCTGCCATGAGGAAGTCTGCCCAGGATGTTCAGAAATTTATGGATGCTGTGAACAAGAAAATGAACGCCCAGGATGTGCAGAAAGGTCAGTGGGAGAGCTTCGTGGGGTTGGTGACGTGGGCCGGCCCCTGCGTGTGTCCTTACCTTGCCCCTGTCGGAGTCTTACGCCGGAGGGTTTTCTTTCTGGAA